AAATACAAAAGAACAAACCTCACTCCAAAATTTATGGGATACAGCAAAAGTCTATATAAGAGGCTTGACAATCGCATATATGGCAAAGAAAAATAAAGATAAACGACAACTAAGAGACAATTGTTAACAGAACTTAAAGAGTATGAATCAGAGTTGCAGAAAAACTTCCACAACAAATCAATCCAAGGAAAAGTAAATCTCACAAAACATAAAATTAACTTAATCACATAAACAGAAATCGCAAGGAAAATTAAACTAGCAAAACAGAATCATTTTGAATACGCAAACAAAACAGGACATTGGCTGGCTTACAGATTGAAAAAAGAAAAAGAAAAGAACAATACACCAAGTGCAAGATGAGATAGGAGAAATGTATCATAGAAATGAAGACAAAAAGCGAATAGCAAAAAAATTTTTTTTTTCAGAATTTATATGAACAAGAAGAGATCATGGAAGAAGATATTAAAAAATATTTAAACAAAACAGATACTCAAGGATTAGAAGAAACCCAGAGAGAGCTACTGAATAGACCAATCACCATGATGAAATTAATAGAGGCAAGAAAATAATAATAATAATAATAATAATAATAACAACAACAACAACAACAACAACAACAACAACAACAACAACAACCCTCCAGGACCAGATGGCATACCAACAGAATTTTAAAAAACATGTCAAAACCCAATGGATGAAATTCTACTTCAAATTTTTAACAATGCACTTTTAAAAGCTACAATCCCCAAATCATGGACGGAAACTATCACCACACTCATTCCGAAAGAAGAAACAGACCAAACACAAATCATAAACTACAGGCCAATATCACTTCTAAACGTAGATTATAAATTATTTATTTTGATTATTACAGAGAGACTGAAAAGAATAATTAATGAGTATATCCATTCGGACCGGAACGGCTTTATTCCAAAAAGACAATATGAGACTAATAATTGATGTCTTAGAATACTATGAACAAAATTTAGACAAACAATTGGCATTAATTTTTTTGGATGCACAGAAGGCTTTTGATAACTTGAATTGGAAATTCCTTATATTACAATTGGAAAATATGAAATTTGGCAACAAATTTTTAAATACGATTAAGAAGATTTACTCCTCTAAAACTGCAAAGATAATGATAAATGGGGACATGACAGAACAATTCAAAATATTAAAAGGAGTGAGACAGGGATGTCCCCTGTCTCCCTTATTATTTATATTAGCCCTAGAAACATTATTAAATAAAATTAGAAAGGACAAAGAAATAAATGGATTAAGAATCAAAAAAGAGGAGTATAAACTTCAAGCTTTCGCTGATGATGTGGTCTTTATCCTAGAACAACCAGCATCAACAGGAAATACATTGTTAGCAAAAATAGAAGAATATGGAAAAGTAGCCGGACTTAAAATTAATAAGCCAAAAACAAAGGTACTAATGAGGAATCTCACAAATCAACAAGAAAAAGAACTAGAAGACAAATTGGGAATACAAGTAGTAAAAAAGGTAAAATACTTAGGAATCTGGCTTACTAACAAGGATCATCAATCAGGGAGGATAATTATAATAAATTGGCAAAACAGATTAAAAAGGATTTAGAAATGTGGAGCAAGCTACAATTATTGTTCCGGGGAAAGATCACATCTATTAAAATGAATGTATTACCCAGAATTTTATATTTGTTTCAAGTAATCCTGATAAAACCGGGGAAAGATTTCTTCAAAGACTTTAATAAAATGATTGCAAATTATATTTGGCAGGGGAAGAAGGCAAGGATTAAAATAAAACATCTACAAGATATACAAGAGAAAGGAGGATTAGAATTAACTGATTGGGAGACGTATTATAAAGCTGCATCACTGATTTGGATAAAAGGCTGGATAGAACTCAAAAATAAAAGAATATTAACAATAGAAGGTTTTGATTTACAAAGAGGTTGGCACGCATTTTGTGGGAGGGAAAAGACAAACAACATGGTTATTTTCAACAGCATATTATTAGAGAAGCACTGTTTAAAACTTGGCAAGAGGTTAAAAATGTACACTGTGATAAAATTCCAGAACAGATATCGACCATGGAGGCGCAGATATACCCCAATGTCATGGATATGGATAAAGTGAAAACTTATAAAGACTTGTTAAACAGCAGAGGGGAACTAAAGTCAAGACAAGAACTGAAAGAACAGGGTACAAACATTGACTAGTGGCCATATTTACAGATAAAATCCAGGTACAAAACAGACCTGGTAAAATTTGGATTCCAAAAAGAGCCATATGAATTAGATAAAATTTTACAAGGGACAGATGATAAATTGATAACCAAAATTTATAATTATTTACTAAGATACAAATTAGAGGAAGAAGTGGTCAAAGAAAATATGATAATTTGGGCGAAAAATTTTGGATATAACATTACACTGGAAAAATGGGAAAAACTAAGGAACATAAATTATAAATTAACAATGTCTGTACCCTACAAAGAGAACATGTACAAAATGTTCTATAGGTGGCACCTCCCTCCTGCTTGTTTAGCAAGAATGTTCCCGGATACCTCCCCAATGTGCTGGAAAAGCAAACTGCAGAAAAGAACCTACTACTACATGTGGTGGTCTTGTCAGAAAGCAAAGCAGTTTTGGCAGGCAATCAGGATACAAATAGAGGAAATCACACACCAGAAAATAGAATTGAGACCAGAAACCTTCCTATTAGGAATAATCACAGGACACTATGAAAAAGAAATAAAATACCTATTAATTAATTAATTAATTAATTAATTAATTAAGCTTATATGCCTCCCTGTCTCCAGAAAGGACTCAGAGCGGCTCACAGCAATAAAAACGGATAAAATCTATATTAAATGTTAAAAACCATTAAAACTCCCCATTAAAAACCTCCTCAGTCCAATCCGGCCTGGCGAAATAACCATGTCTTAAGGTCACAGTGGAAAGAGTGCAGGTCAGGGGCCACCTGGAGCTCCAGGGGGAGTTGATTCCATAAGGTAGGTGCGCCCACAGAGAAAGCCCGTTCCCTAGGAGTCGTCAGACAACACTGCCTGGCCGACGGCACTCCAAGGAGCCCTCCCTGTGGGAATGCACCAGGCGATGGGGAGCTGTTGCTGGCCGCAGATGGTCCATCAGATACCCCGGGCCTAAGCCATGTAGGGCTTTATAAGTGATAACCAGCATCTTGAATCTCATCCGGAGGGCAACCAATAGCCAATGCAGGTCGTGCGGCAGGGGTGTAACATGAGAGTGTCGGGACATTCCAATCACTGCCCACGCGGCCGCATTCTGCACCAGCTGAAGCCTCCGAGTGGTCTTCACGGGCAGCCCCATGTAGAGAGCGTTGCAGTAGTTGATCCGGGAGGTCACAAGTACATGAGTGACTGTACGGAGATCACGGTCCAGGTGCAATTGGCGCACCAGACGAATCTGTGCAAATATCCTCCTGGTCACGGTCGCAACATGATCTTCCAAAATCAACCGTGAATCCAGGAGGATGCCTAAATTGCATGCCCTTTCAACAGGGGGCAACACCTCACTCCCTATGATCAACGATGGAATATTCCCTTGGAACCGAGATGCCAGTACCACAGCCACTCCGTCTTGGCGGGGTTGAGCAGAGCCGCACCGCTTCCAGGCACCGGGACATCACATCGAGGGCATCACTGGGCTGGTTCAGGATGGATATAAAAAGTTGGGTATCATCAGCGTACTGATGATACCTCACCCTGAAACCATGGATGATCTCTCCCAGCGGCTTCATATAGATGTTGAACAAAAGGGGAGAGAGGACCGACCCCTGAGGTACCCCACATGTGAGGGACCTCAAGGCCGACCTTTGTCCCCCTGCCAACACCGCTTGCGTACGACCCGAGAAGTAGGAGGCGAACCACCGAAGAACAGTGCCGCATTAAGATACCATGGTTGATGGTATCGAAAGCTGCCGAAAGGTCTAATAGGACCAGGACAGAGGAATATCCCTTGTCCCGAGCCCTCCAGAGGTCATCCACCAGCGCGACCAATGCCGTCTCCGTGCTGTACCCGTGCTGTAATTATTCATATACTAATGGCAGCATGGATAGTTTTTGCTCAGAGTTGGAAGCATGAAGATATACCAACAGAAGATAAAATAATTAGCAAAATCATGGAATGTGCAGAAATGGACAAACTTACAAAAGAAATACAGGAAAAAGAAGAAACCGATTATTATTTAATATGGCAGAAATGGTATAATTGGCTGGAGAAAAAGAAAGGAAATTAAATGAATAGGGATACAAAAGACAGGACATAACCCATAGATAACAATTGAGTACTAACTAAGGAATATAGTAAATTAAATATATAGATGAGGGATATAAATAGGCAAAAGATAGCCATAAACATATAGAATGATTACATATAGAGATGATGTATTAGGAATATATATATATATATATATATATATATATATAATATTTAAATATATTGATATATAGATACGAACATAAATATAATATACTGATGTGACAAGTTTAAAAAAGAAGTTGCAAAGACTTGATTCATGTTTATTTGTTGTGTATGTTTTATTGTATGTATGTTTGTATTTTTTGTATTTTAATCAATAAAAATTTTAAAAAAAACATTAATTCTTACTCAAGACCTTTTTGTATAAACAATAGAATGAGGCCAGATAAAATGTAATCCAAGGTCTATTGAAGAATCTTGAGTATTGATGTTCACTCCTCTTCCCCATAATCTGAGCAAAATAAGAATCTCTAATTCATTACACTATTAGTTGTTAAAATTTGCATATCAAACAGCAAGGACATATGAATACTTGATGATAGCTAGTTCTAAACAGATTATTCTGGGTAGTAAATTAAATTTAGAAGGGTTTTGTTATTTAATATTGAAATGCTTAGAAAGAATGTCCAAATGTATTCTGACTAAGTAATAATGCATCTTATTTGAAACACTTGAATTATTTGTTCTATAATGGAAACTATTTCATTGTAGGGAATGTATACAATATACGTAATCTCTTGAATGAAGAATGTGTCGTCCTCTTCACACAGTTGAAAGGAAAAGGTTTGAAAAAATGTTTTGTTAGATTTAATTTTAGTTAAAGTAGATATATTGAAATCAAATATGTAAATTCATGATTAGCTTAAGTCCCATTGAGGCTTTTTGTGATAAGTCTGAATACTCTGCCTACGTGTAACTTGCTATCTTTTCAGACCCATAACTCTTTATTTCTAACTTGCAATGTGGGATTGTTACTAATCTTAATTATCTCACTCCTATCCTTTTCCTCTTATGTTATCTAGTAGTTTCCCTTCAAGTTCTTAACATCTTAAGATCTTAACTTTCTTCAGCCATTTTAACATCTTAAATTTCCTCAGCCCCCCAAATTGTAGTTTAAATTTCTGGCACAAAAACTGGGTTCTCAGTCTTTTTGTTTCCGTTACTTGTGTTAAATTTTAAAAAAACTTCTCTGTACCTGTATCTAAGACACAAGGTTTAATAAGATTATAATACAAAATTGTCCATGAATTCTTGATTTTATTTTGTTTATTTGATTTCTAGCCTCTTAAATCACAGTATATATTTATAAAATAGACTACATGCTTATTTCAACCCCCCTGTTGTTTTGTCTTTGGGCAGCAGGTTTTCATAGCTCTGAGCATTTTTAATATTCTGTTTTAACTCAGACATAAAAAGTCTTCAGATTATCAAAAAGAAGTATTTATTGTGTAAAATGTTGTGAAGATAACAACGAAAAAGAACAGTAAGGGTGAATCAGTTTTACGGTAAAGTTAGCCTACTTAGTTTGTATATTGCTAGAAATGTTTCAAAGATTTACCATAAGTCAAGTCACATAACTTAAAACTACTTTAATCACAAGCTTAATATAACAAAACAAGGGTTCTAATATGCAATGCTAATGCAAGCTATAAAACCTACTTTGCTTGCAGAGATCTTGAAATATTTTTTTAAATTGTTGGCATAGTGGTAGAATACCTGGGGATAAAAGTTTGGGTCTCCCTCAAATCAAGTTTGTATCCATGTGGGGGTATTTTTGGCAACAATACAAAATGGAAATTTTCCATTACCATCTTCTGGTATCGGACTGGTGTATGTATGAGGCTGTTTTTATTTTTTTATTTTTGGGCTAGTCTTTTGCCTAGGGATTTCCTACAGGTCAGACCCAGTTTAGCTTTTTTGAAGATCAGCCAAGACTGTCTTGATACTGCTACCTGCTGTCATGGATGTTGAGGACTTAATATATGTCAGAGATTATCAGGTGATGATTCTGAGCTATCAAATTCCTTCATATATCCTTCTGTGCTTTTTTTTACAGAACTTCTTGACAACTAGGAAGTATGCTTATGGAGCAATTAATTTCCGCATAAGAAACTTGGAACTTTTTGAGTTTGGGAAGACTAATCTTCACTATATCTCAGATAACTTAGAAACAACTGAATTATAAATACAAAAAAAAAGGGAACTGACTAACAGAAGTGACACATTTAGAAAAAGCAGCATGGTTTTAATCACCTGATAGGTGTAAACTTACTGCATGGGAGGAGAGAAGCTCTGCAGTAAATGAGCTTTGCAGTAGTAACTTTCATGCAAAGTTGTGAAAAGATTAAGTACCTGAGTAAATATAAAAGATTAATCTCTTTTACACTTCTGAAAAACTCAAGAATCTGCCTAATGTTAAACAGAAGGGAAATTCCTTGAATTCAGTCATTCTTGGAAATTCCTGATTAATTTGAAATATGTTCTTAAGTTTTTGTTTTTATAGCTTTACTGGACCTCTGTTTTGAATATATGGACATTTTTGTATAATAAAAAACAAGGGAAGGCCATATTGAAGATGTTTCTCTTCTGCTTGAAATATATAATTTGCCTAGTAAAACCTGGAAATGGCTTATAAACTGTAATTAAAACACAGAAATAAAAAAAGATTTTTAAAATATAGTGAGATAGATATTGAAAAAGCAATATATTACTTGAAGGAGCTCTTCCTCTGATTTTAATTAATTAATGAGTGAGAAAATATCTTGCTGTTTAGTGCATATCTATAAAGTATGTGCATTTAAATTCGAAATATTTTAGATGTGACTGTCATACTCAGATGACAGCATTTTAAGTGCATGTTTATTTCCAATTGTTACAAATAATTTGATTTAAATTAGCATTAGAGCTATAGGTTCTGCTTTTACTGTCTAATGAAATGATTATGTGGGAGAGCTAACGTAATTGGAAAATGTGAAAGATTTGTATGTTAATATAAATAACCACATCTTATTTTCAGAAAAGTAATCTCTAATGTAAACTTGAACCCATAATTCTTGAATCAGCTTGAAGATCACCATCTGCTTAAAAATTGAAGAATTCTTGAAATCTCTTTTTTGCCCAGATGCCCTCTAGTTCTACTGTTTGCAGTTAGGGTATAAATGTTTTTCATGGCTATTTTGTACATTCTGATGGTTTATACATTCTATTCTGATGTGTGTGTTTCTTTAAAGTAGTTTAAAACATTACGCAAAATTAAAGTCATACTGTTAAAAATATATTTTATGTGAGTTTCTCTTGAAATGTAGGAAGTTTTATTTCCAGGAATATGGCATGAATGTTGTCAGATTTGTTCATATTAACTTTCTTTGGATTTGAATGCTGCTTTCAGTTGCTCAGTAGATTGCCAGCTGAAATGTTTATTGATTTTATTCTCCCATTTTTATTATTTTTTGTATATATATTGTTAATCACACTTGTGTAGTCTGATTTTTCAAAGATTGCAGTTTTGCTGTATGATAAAATTTAGGGAAAAAGCATGCTTCCATAGTATTTTGCAGCACAGATTCTGGAGAAATAAAAATCATATTTAAATAGAGTACGGCAAAGAATACATAAATTATTGTGAGATGTAATTATTTTCCTGTTAGATTTACTAGCCTCCTAAGTAGACCAGACAGGAAATACAATGAGCTAACTCTATGTTATAAGTCTATCTTAATTGAAATTTGCAGGTCTGAAAGTACAAATTTTCTGCCATCTTTTTATTGTCTGATAAGTTAGGATAGATCCTAAGTTTCTTTAATTGATCTTTATTAAACTACAGCCTCCTCCCTCTTTATCCAATCATTCCCTAGTCAGGACTCCTTCACCCCACCTCACTTCCAAGATCATTCCCAAATTCCATTACATATCTGGGTTGGTAGATTTTGTTTCCTTAATTCAATACATTCTGATTAAATAATTCTAATGGAGATATAGAGGTGTTTAATCGAGGAACTGATCTAAGGCCGAAAAAAGTTTAGTCTGATATAATTCACAACTAGATGCTTAGCCCTCCACAGGAATCCCAATTTGGGACTTAAGTCCCAATTCCAAATCCCAATGGTCATGTGACCATATGTCAGGGGCTCAGCAAAACTGTCCTATAGTGAATAATGATCATAAAAGTCACTTAATGAAAAAGATCATAAAATCACATTGGTTACGGAAGTGATCCTTTTTATGACCATAACAACTTAGCTGGCTATGATGGGCAGGTTCCATTACAATTATAAATTGAGGACTTGTACTATTAGCATAAATTGATCTGTAACAAGACTTGAAAAACCAGCTTGTCCTTTAGGATGACATGGAGTATGGCAGATCTGGGCATTTCATGACCACATCCAGTCAGAGCGGCAGTGCAGCATCACTTTGTGGGGTTGATGTTGGGGCAGGGCACCATCAGGGGGCAGTGGTGGCAGACTTCCACATAATCCTAATTTCTCATGTGGCCCCTTGGGACAATTAATTGCCCAGGTAAAGGGTCACTCAGGTAAAACAAAACTTGTCATAGTCTGCCATAAAGAGCTTGGATACACTAATGCTTAGAGTTTGGGGAACAAACTCAACTTGAGTCCTAGTATATGAGGGCAAGTACAATATTGTTGCTGTTACTGAAACTTGGTGGAATGAAAACCATGACTGAATATACTAATAGAAGGATACAAATTGTTCAAAAGAAATAGTTCCAGTTCAGAAAGAGAAAGCAGTTGCATTATATATAAAGAATTGCTACACCTCTACAGAAATAAACAGTGTTAATGATGAAAGCCTTGAAAGTATTTGGGTGAATATTAAAGGATAAAGAAATGACATTGTTACAGATGTGTTCTATTCTACAAGCCACCCAACCAAGTGGAGGAAATAGACAAACTTTGTTAATCGGCTAGCCAAGATGTGCAGAAAACACACAATTGTAATAATGCAGAGTTTGTTTCCCAGCTTTTATTATACTGGGAAACAAACTGTGCATCAACAACACTGGGGGAAAAAACTGCACTGGGAAACAAAGCAAATTCTGCAACAAGAGGGAGATCAAACAGATTTCTGATGTACCTAGCTAACAACTTTTCATCCAAAGGAGGTGGGAACTAGAGAGTCAATCCTACCTAGTTGGGATGAAATGGTTAACAGTGGAAATTATAGGAACTTTGGGGGAAAGTGCCCATACTAGAATTCACCATAAATTTAGAACAACAGAGTTGGAAGGGACCTTGGAGGTCTTCTAGTCCAACCCCCTGCTTAGGCAGGAAACTCTACACCACTTCAGATAAATGATTATCTAATCTTCTTTAAAACTTTCAGTGTTGGAGCTTTTACAACTTCTGGAGGCTCTCTCTAAGTTTATTGAAATTAGCTCTCTTAATGCAGAATAATGCAGGCACCGGCGACTGAACAAAGTTAGGCCAGTGTTTTAGACTTTAAGAGAGCTGATTTCAACAAATTTAAGAGAGATTAGGAAGGAATCTGTGGATGGAAATCCTAGAGGGAAAAATAGTTAAAGATGCCTGGGAAACTCTGAAAAAGAAGATAGTAAAACCCAAACAAAATATCCCAAAGAAAAAAGAGACTCCAGACAAAACCTCATGGCTGCACAAAAAGTTCACTAATAAACTGAGAGACTAATTTTATAAAAAATGGAGAGGGGCGCATAACTAAAACAGAATACCAATAAATAGCCCAAATCTGCTGTTATAGAGTTGGGAAGATTTAAGACTAAGAATGAACTAAGACTTGCAATCAATGCCAAAAAATAACGAAAAAGGTTGTCGCAAAGGTGCTTTTCAAAAGGCAACTGGACTTCCTTGAAGAAAATTCAGTTGCGTTTTGAAAAGCACCTTTTGGACAATCATGACCTGGATGATTGAGAATTTTCATAGACAATAAAAAAGTTTCAATATATAAGTTAACAAGAAGAAAATCAAGAAAATGATGATATCCATTCATTGTGTCCGAGTCTTGGTAAACCTGTGGGCCAGGTTTCTCAAATCTTTCGATTTTGCATTATTTCTTTGAGGTTTTCTATGCTTCGGCTTGTGTCAGCTTTGATGGTGTCCAGTCACTGTGTGCTTTGATGGCCTGGTTTCCGTTTACGGTTAACTCTTCAAACATAATTGCTTTCTCCAGTAAATTTCCCTGCATGACATGACCAAAGTAATTATGACCAAAGAAATGATTGATCCACTAATATCGGAAAATGGCTAGAAAGTAACAGGCAACAGGGAGAAAGAACTGCTTAATATCTTCTTTATAAATGTCTTTAGAACATTTATAAAAAGAAAAAGTAGACTAACTATAAAAAGTAGTAAGGGGGACAGAACAGAAGTGCAGGTCAAAATAGGCAAGAAATTGGATGAATTCAAATTGATGAGACCTGATGGCTTACATCCCAGGGATCTGAAGAAGCTGGAAAATATAATCTTGAAACCACTGGATGTAATATTTCAGAGCTCCTGCCAGAGGACTGGAAAAGAGCTGAAGTGGTTCCAATCTTGGAAAAGGGTAAAATTGGAAACAGAAACAAAACTGGAATCTACAGACCAATCAGTTTGACGCCAATACTCAGGAAACTCCAGAAAAGGTCATAAAGAAATGGATTTGTGAACAGCTAGAAATGAACAAATTGATCACTAAAGGCCAGCATGGGTTTGTTAAAAGCAGGTCACGTCAAGCAAACCTTACTGCCTTATTTAATACAGTGATTAGTGGATCAAGGAAATGTGGTAGACATTGTTTGAATTGCAGTAAGGTATTTTACAGAGTCGACCACAGCCTATTTCTTGATAAGATAAAAAAGTGTGGAATAGACAGTACCACCACTAGATGGATTCGCAACTGGCTGAGTGTGTAGTCCTCAATTGGAGCCCATCAAATTTGCAGACAGCTAGGGGCAATTGCTAACACTTTGGAAGATAGACTTACGATTCAGAATGATCTAGACACTTGAGCCTGGGCCCTATCCAGCAAGATGTAATTCAGTGGTGAGAAAAGTAAAGTCCTGCACTTAGACAGGAAGAAATGTCCCAAAAATGTCCTGCACTTAGGAATATGCCTCAAATGTCCCATTTTCAAGAGGCAACTGGACTTCCTTGTTTTTCTTTGAAGATGTTTCACTTCTCATCCAAGATGCTTCTTCAGCTCTGACTAGATAGTGGGGAATGGAAGGATTTATATTCCTTTCAGACAGCTAGTCATTTATATTCGTTTAGAGAGTCTTTGAGGCCATTTGGAGATTTATCCTTCCCCCTCTGTTGAGAGACATCTGTTCAATTTTGACAGAATGGTCACTTTGACCCCTCTTTCAAACCAGTGGTCCTCTCTGTCCAAAATGTGGACTTTGGTGTCTTCAAAAGAGTGGCCTTTGTCTTTTAAATGCAGATTGACTGCTGAATCTAGTCCTGATGGGTTTTTTTCTCTTATGTTGTGCCATGTGTCTATGAAGCGGTTGTTTTGTTTCCCCAATGTATTGATCTGTACATGGCTCACTGCATTGTATTGCATATACCATGTTGCTCAGTTTGTGTCTGGGTGTTTTATCCTTGGGGTGAACAAGCTTCTGCCTTAGAGTATTCTTGGGTTTGAAGTGTGCACGTATGTTGTGTTGGCTGAAGATCCTCCTGAGCTTTTCAGATGTTCCTGCAATCTATGGAATGACAACTAAATTAATGGTTGTAAATCGAGGATTAAAGATTTCCCCTGTTCAGTAGTGACCAACTCAAGGAGGTGATGCTAATCTCCAATTTGCAGCCGAGGGAGCCTGTTGTCTAATAGATACTTCTATCATCATGTGGTCAGCATGAAAATAAGGAATGCAGTAACCTTCCTGTCAAAGCTGTACCTATTTATCTACTTGCATTTGCATGCTTTCAAACTGCTAGTTTGGCTGGAACTGGGATGAGAAATTGGAACTCCACCTGTCACATGGCACTCACTGAGCAATCACATTGCCACGTTGAGGACTACCTGTAGCTGAATTGTGTGATTCACCAATTATAATGAAGATAAAGGAATACTGGTGGTCATTTTTTAAAAAAGTTCTTTAGCAACACTGAGTTGTTTATATCCACTTACTAGATTAAAAAAAGATCGGTGGCTAAATATTGATTCTATGGTTAAATAAGTAACAGGTTTCTTTGGAATATTTTAAATAGAAAAATCTATCAAAACTCAGAAAACACTTCACCCATCCCCCTATATGAGAGGATCAACAGACTTGGGAGCAGTGAAGAAGTTG